TTTATGGGAGAGAGGGGCAAGTGTTTTCTTTGATATCTGATGGGTTTGGGGTTGGTTTCGGGTAGGAGAGATTATATACAAACGGTTAAACCCGAAACAAAACCAAACCAAACCCGTAAATAAAAGAAATATGGAAATCTGCCCGTAAGTCGACTCATGGGTCGACTAAGCCGACATTGTCCAGATTTGTGCATGTTTTGTTAATCTGCCAAAATCAATGCACGAAACTCTATAAAAATACCCTCAAACATATCCAATAACTTGTTATCAAGTATATCTATGACCTCAAGTCATTTACCACAATATAATTATTTATCCCCAATAATTCATATATCTATATAACGAAAATACGGGGTTTTACATATTCCTCTTGGCACAATGCAATTAGAAGTGTTGGTCAAGAATTTGATGATGTTGAGCATTGTCGGTGGAGTTTAAATAATTACTCTTTTGCACGATGGTTTAACTTTTTTTTTGTAAAAAACGAACACAAATGAGTGACAGCAAAATGCAAGGCTGCAAACTATGAATAGATGGTTCATTGCACCCGTCGTAGAGATAGTGATCGATTCTATGTAAAAAATTATAATTCCCATTTTGTATGATTTTCTACATTCAAAGTAAAACGTAAGCCAACTTTAGTATCATATTAATATTATACTTTTTCTTTACTAAACGAGCTACCATTAAGATAAAACATTAAGACCAAACACATGCACGGAGGAGAATAGGATATCCTACTTTAAACTTTCAACTCAAACTTGGAAGAAAGACCCCAAACACATGCACGGAGGAGAATAGGATATCCTACTTTAAACTTTCAACTCAAACTTGGAAGAAAGACCATGAATGAAGATACAATCCTATCATGAAGTTCCTACTTTAAACTTTCAACTCAAACTTGGAAGAAAGACCATGAATGAAGATACAATCCTATCATGAAGTATATTAACAATCCTATTACGAAGCATTTTAATCACAAAGTCTTGCGCTCTCCAAAAACGTGAATGATGTCTCGCACAAATTTGTATAGAGTGAGGTTAATGAAAGAGAGAGAACGAGACTGTCACCATATAGAAATATGACTGTCACCATCTTTGATCCAACTTAGTATAGGGGCTATGTAGGTTTTTATTCTTCTTTCATGCAAGGAACAAGCAATTTAGTTGTTATTTACTATAAAGATAAGGGTAAACATGGAAAAAAATGTTGTCAACAGAATTTATAAGCCAATGGAAGTTCTTAATCCTCAGTATAATTTGTGGTGTATGGCTTGTTCTCTCTCGTTTTCCTTTTTTTATGTGACAAGAAACAAATTTTTTTTATGTGATAAGAGTATACAAATTAAAAAATCTTGAACTCATGTAATAAATACAATTGTCAAATAAGTTGGCAGTGCTTAAAAGTGATATACATGTAAGCCAATGAAACAAATCTGAAACTAGTGAATGGTGTGATGATTGATTTTGAGAATCCAGTGCCTAAAAGTGATATACACGTAAGCCAATGAAAAAACTGTTAAATAAGTTTGGCCTGTTTGGTTGTATTTTTTTAGAGCAAAAAGTGGTGTAAAGTGATAAGAACATGGGGTCCATGTTCAGCATTTAACATCTAGTTTTCTTTTGCACTTTGATCTATCAATTGTCGAAATAGAACTTTAGACCGTCAGTTAAAACAAATGGAGAGATTTTGGGCTATTAAAGTAGAAATATATATATTTTTAAAATGGAAATATTAAAAAGATTCATGAAATGGTTTTCATCAACTACTTCTTCTCTCCACAAAATCGAACACACATGATCAGACTTTTTTACATGTTTAGTCACATTCATCCTATCCATATATAAACACAAGATAGAACAAAGAAACAAAATTAAGAACTCAAGCCCTAGGGAGCTCACCAGCACAGGTGGAACCGAAGGCAAGGACGGAGGCGTTGAAGAGAGCGACAGAGAGGTCGGAGTGGAGGAGGAGATGGCGGGTGATGGAAAGGCCAACGATCCCGTTGTCGATGATGGCGACGTCGTGCTCCGACTTACATAGAGCGGCCACAATGGGGATTTCACCTCGGTCAGGGCTCAGTGACGAGACGGCGACGGTGACGGACACGAGATAGACACGAGTTGAGAATGGGGAAGAAGCACTGGAGAAGGGGGAAATTGTGCTCCGACTTGTGTACACCGGCCACAATGGGGATTTCACCTCGGTCAGGGCTCAATGACGAGACGGCGACGCAACGGACACGAGACGGACACGAGCTGAGAATGGGGATGAAGCGTCGAAGAAGGGGGAAATAGGGTTTTTCAGTTAGGGCTCAGAGATGAAAAGGGGGAAGAAGATAGAGAAAAGTACTAGTTTAAGTGAGGGTATTGAAAGGGGTATTTGGGGTTTTTACCATGTTTGTATATAAATACAAGTGCTCTACATACTGTATTATGGAAATTGGGTTTAAAGGCAAAAAAAAGATAATTGGGTTTAAGAATACAAGCAATAGTGATTAGGTTTTGAGGTAAAGTTGAGTAAACAATTAGGGCTAGAAATAAAACCCCTTTTTTTAAATTATTTTCTCTCTCTCTCTCTCTCTTTATTCTCTCTAGTTTTAGCCTTTCATTTTTGTGACAAAACCCTCTACCCAAAATACATCACCCTCATTCTTTGTTCCTACACATTTCAAGAGCTCATTTAGACTAGGAGTGTCCAAAAAGCCCCTCGGCCCGCATATGTGTGTATATATATACTCTCTCTTATGTCATATGTGTGTATATATATACTCTCTCTTATATAAGTATATATATGTATAAGTATATATAAGTATACTTTCTCTTATATAAGTATATATAAGAATACTCTCTCTTATATATGTATAATGTATGTATGTATGTATATATATACTCTCTCTCTTAGTATATATGTATATATAAGTATACTCTTCCTTATATAAGTATATATAAGTATACTCTCTCTTATATATGTATACTCCCTCTTATATAAGTATATGCTCTCTTATATATATATAATATGTGTGTGTGTGTGTGTGTGTGTGTGTATACTCTCTCTCTTAGTATATAAGTATATATAAGTATAGTATATTACAACGGCTACTTCTTCCCCATTGGCCCAACGGGCAACGGCTACTTATGCGATTCTCTCTCTCAAGTTATAACTTATAAATATATACAATTTATTTACATATAATATATGCATATATAATATATAGTTACATAATAATTTGTAAGTATATACTAATACATAATTATATAAAATATAACAATGTTAAACTAATTTTTAGCATTTTTTTTATCAAAAAAAGAAAAGAAAAGAAAAAATTTTAAAAAAAAACCTAGTTGGGATGTACTTATCTATTGTGATGCGATGAATTCCAAAATAAATTTATACTTGTAATTTGTAAATGATTTATTAATTATTAATAAAGAATTTATTTTTATAATTTTTTATTTGTAATTTATGTTATTTTAAGTGAATAATAAATTTATTGTTTTTATTAATTTTTTTGTTTTTTTTTGTATAATTTAAATTTTAAATAGAATTAAAAAAATGAAAATAAACAACCCGGCCCGGTCGGGTCCGGGTCTGGGCTTCGGTTTTGCCCGGCCCGGACCCGGCCCGGGGTTCCCGGGTCCGGGCTCCGGTTTTGCTCGGTCCGGGCCCGGATTTCCAGGCTGGGCCGGCCCGGATGGACACACCTAATTTAGACCATTCTTTCTAATGCTTTCCTTCTCCGTGGATCGATATATTAAATACTATAATTTGGTTGTTGCGCACTTACAATTGAGTATGTTTTTATTCACATCATATCCCCTCCCTTTTTCCTCTCAATCTTTAGTTTGTGCTCCTAGGAAATTGATAACCCAAGTCGCTAGATCTGAAAACGAACGGAAGCCTGCTATTTGGAGAGTGACATGCAACAGAATACCAGCTTAACCTAGTTCTTGCCAGTTAAGTGCTTACTCTTCTTCTCTTTAAAGAATACCCACAATATATCATGCGCGCTATTCTACTAGACGTTTGAAGATAATTACAAATACATTTAGCATTATGCTACTAAGCTTACAAGTCTAATCTATGAGTAATTTGTCAAAAATTAAAAATTTTCTTCAATCAGTACTTTCAAAAATTAAAAAAAAAAATTATATAACAGGAGCACGAGGATAAATTTTTTTCTACGCGGGGGATAGTTCGCTCTGAGGATCATCTACTACTGAAAACCATGTTTCAAGAGGCACATCGATCCCATGTCGCGCAGACCATATTTTCTAAAGAAGACTTGATAAAGAAGTTCATTCGGTTAGGCTTGATAAAGAAGTCACCAAGAAAGAATCCCATAAAGAAGTTCATTCGGTTAGGCTTGATAAGCAATAACAGGCCTCCCAGTACATATGCTAGCCAGACCAATAATCCATGCCCCCGACGGAAAACAAATTGCTTTAATTTGTTGTTAAAAGTATATATAAAAAGCTCCTATATATACTTAATTAACATCATATCCTTGCCACTCTAAAGAGCAGAACAGATCTTCTTTTGGTGCCGGGAATATATCCAAAAGCCATAGTACCAATTAATCTCATAATTAAGCTAAGTGCATATCCTCATCGCACCAAAAACAATAAGCAAATATTAACTAATGTTTAATTTACCATAAGGAAGGACAACAAAATCCCTTTCTTGCTCAGCACTTGATCTCTTTAATTCGTTAAGAACCTTCCTTTTCTTCCTTTCGCCGAGAATTCAGCTGCACCGAGAATCTCAGAACAGGAGCAGTGTTAGTTAAAGAAGATTCCAACTTAATTAAAGCTGATTAGGATTCTGCAAAGTATGCGACACTCAAACTGTCCAAGAATTTGGAGGAAAAAAAAAAGTGATTTACCCTTCTCTTTTCCTTTTTCTTTTTCCTTTCCCTTTTCCTTTTCCTCCCTTTTTGTTTTCTCTAATCTTATATTAACTTCTACCAGTTTAATTTTCCGTAATCCTCAGATACAAGGAGTCAAGAGAAGTAAGAGGTGGGAAACTTAGTCCCGCTCTCCGTCGTTGCATCATATATCAAAAAACTAATATCGATCGATCCATGGCAACTCAAGCCCCCACGGTGAAAGTTTACTACGGGAAGCCCATGTTGCCGGATGTTTCAAGGGTGCTCGCATGCCTCCACGAGAAGGATGTCGAGTTCAACCTCATCGATATGTATGAAGGTCAACAGATGAACGCCGACCTCGTCAAACTACAGGTAGCTTCGCATCAACGTTTGCATTGTGTTCGGTAGGCTGCATTGACCTCCGATCGAAAATTAATTCTGCTCGGCTCGTTCTGGACAGGCATCGCGGACGCCAGTATCAGCCTTTGAAGATGGAAACACGAGGCTATTTGGTACGTACTGAGCTCTGCACTCCGAACTAGCTAAAGATATTCTTCTCTCAGTTCGTTTCCCTCGTTGCTTGCAAGGGTTTTTGTAGATTAATTTCAATTTTACCCATGAATATAAGTCGTTAATTTCAATATAAATTATATAAGTACGGTTTTCTGCTTAAGATAGAATAAGTATTGAAGCTTTAGGACAAAGAAATACCATCATGCATGAGGACCAAGGAGCGTTCTTTAATTTTGTCACTCCATAAAACAGTAGAACATACACTATATATAACTGGTAATTGTTTTAGGATTGACTTACGCTTAGGCTAAATAGCACTTAAATAATACCTTATAGTTTCACTCCCTTATCACTTATATATATACCCTCAGTTGCATTTTGTAGCATTTATATACCCTAAATTTTTCAAAAATTTGGCATGCTGATATCCTCTATTTTGTAAATGTAAAAATTTTTATCTGAAAATTCCCATATAACATTTATATGGTAATCTTATAACTTAATTTATCTGTTAAGCTTGTTGAATTCATTATTAAATCTTTCCAAAATTTATTATTAAAATAGAATTATGACACGTTTAAATTAGAATTTTGATATGTTTAATAATAATCTAACAAATATTAATGTTCAAAAACTTCTAAATTTAATATATGAATGTTATATGAGAACATTTAGGTAAAAAAATGTCATGTTTACATAACAGAGAGTATTAACATGCTATTTGTAAACAACTCAGGGTATATAAATGTTACAAAATATAACATTTGAGGGTACATAAGTGCCATAAGGAGTAAAACTATAAGTTGCTTAAGTGCTATTTAGCCGTTTGTTTAAGATAAAAACTTTCTTGAAGCTTTAGACAGTTGATCAAGGAATATTTGTACTCTTTGTAACTCCATAAAAAAATAGAAGAAAAGTAAAAATGGTACACAAGCCAAAAAATGCCAAATATTTCTCAGGAAAGAGCAACATGGCTGACCAACGTCAAGGCAAGAGGTACGAGACACTTCAGTAGCGTCAAACCCTACAGAGGATAAGGTGAAATCACTTGATGCAGCATTGGTCCCTTATTATATAATAAAATATAAAAAGTCTCCGATTTTTATACTAAAAACAAATACCTTTAGTTTATATTGCTTATATATATGTCTCCTTGGTACATTGTAGTTTCGAGGGAAACTTATAGTAGAATTTTGTTCTCCTCAGAAGGCAAAGTAGCAGAACAGTTTTACCAAAAATTTTTTATAGGCAGATATTCACCAGACAGTTTAGAGGAAAAAGAAAAAGGATAGTATCAAAAGCTCTAAAGGCAAAACAAAGGGCACAATTTATATATCCTGAGCTTAAAAAAAATCCTGCGATTTAAACACTAAACTACCTGTAACATCTAAAACCATAAAAAAAACAAAGAGACTTACATGTAATCACATGCAATTCCAATCTTACCCATATTATCAAAATCAACCACCTCATCAAAACAGTCTTACAACTACATATAGTGCAAACAATGTATGTGCATGTGCAAACAAACTAAAAGCAATATCATAAAACCCCACTCAGCTTTCCACGATTATCAGAAAACCCTCTTAAGTTTAGGGGTTGTTAGAAAACCCATTTTAATTTTAAGATTTCATCAAAAAAATCCCCTAAATC